ATGCACAAAACTAATCAATAGTACAATAGTAACTGTGTCAATCATCTTTCTAAAGGTTATCATCTCTTCTGCCTACCTTCTACCTTTCCCAGCTTTTTTTCCTACAGACTGGCTTCATCTGACAACACGCCCTAATAAGTATCAGATAACCAAAGAACTACCTTATGGATGAATAATTTATAGCATTAATATAAAGTATGTATTTTTTTTTCTTATTAACACGGTCTATCTTTGACTTAGTATGGTAACACAGGAAAGAATTAGATAAATACTCTCAAATTACAGAAAGGAACTTGTGAATAGTTTTACTGAATATATCTATTTTCAAAACTATCAAGTTAATTTTCTTAGAATAATAGTAAAATCAATATGATGGCTGAAGATGAACCAACTGCTACCAGAAAGACTCCAGTATTTCAACCAAAGCAGACTATAATGAGAATATTCAGTTGAAAGAACCATCAATCATGTTCTTAATACTTCTATGAATCTTTCTTCTTCATCCTCTTACAACGTTAATTTGTTATAAATGATGGCAAGATATACTGCTTCCTCAACCATGTTTTCCCTTTTCAAATGCTGTTCATATAGGTCAATGTCTGTATTAGAAGATGTCACTTTATCTACTTCCTGAAAATCTTCTCCTCTGACTGGCACCAACCAAAGCCTAAATGTGCCTGGACTCATAAGCTTCAATTCTTTAAATTACTTAAATTCAACCTGTCCTCAATATTCTTTCTCTAGATATTTAGACTTTTACCTCTTCACAATAGCTCAATTTGTCTGTTTTAAAATAACAATTTTATTTTCTGTTTAAACTAATATATTTTAAATTTCTCACTAAAAATAAAATGATAAAACAATACATTAAAAAAATGGCATTTTAATCCTAACCAATGTGACAATAGGCAAAAATCTGGACTAAAAATAAAGAAAATGTCCTTAAATAGTCATTAATTGAACTCAATTTAGATCTGTAAAGGCTCAACCTCCACTAGACTGAATTGAGGTCAGTCGGCATGATGAATGTAAATCACTTCACTGTCAAATGTGAAAGACTTACAGCAGATTTACATCATTGTCTCTTAAGAGCTAAGAAAGGTGACAATATTGAAAAGATTATGGGATATTATCTAAAAACTGTATTCTGTTTTTCTGTAAACAGAAATACTTTATGACACAAAAGAACCTAGAAAATCTTCAGAAAAAGATCAAATCCTGATACTAATCCAAAGTAGTTCTGTTACTTAATCTAAAAATGAGACAATGTAAAATTTAGATATTTATAATATGTAATTTTTTTTCAGCAATAAAAATGGCTACGACTTTTTAAATACATCAACAGCTGTAAGGTTCTTTATGTTGATGTGATTTCTTTAAAAGTATCAGATTATAATAATATACAAAATTACCTAAAAAGAAATGTTACATTTTTATACAAAAGGAAAAAGAGAAAAGTTTATGATAGCTATTAAGAAAGAAAAATGAAAAATGGCCGCTATAGTGTGAAACACTTAAATTAATAAAAATGTTATCATGTTCTAACTTCATAGCATTTCACAGAATATGTTAAATATAAAATTTAAACATACTTTATTTAAAGATTATCAAACTAGTCATTTAATACTCATTTTTTTTTAAAAAAAACTTTATTAATATTATAATTTGGACTTGTCATTCATTGGATGTGAAAAAACATCCAAAAGTTTTTTAACATAAAAATAGCATTCTGATGGTTAATTATCTCCAAAAAAAATAAAATACATTTATAATTTATGGTATTTCTATGTATTAGACGAATTCATTTTGGTTACTAATGTTTACATTTGCATTTCTGTAGCAATTACAAATTATATCTTTATTGAGGTATTAACATGTAAAATTTAATTTCCAGTAAGCCTATTTAATCTGAAATACTTCTAAAAACTTCACTGAGCTGCCATAATTTTTGTCAGCATATGTAGTACTGAATGACCATTAAAATACCTGAATTGAAACTATTCCAGTCTAGCAGTTTGTAAGGTCTTGTGTTACCCATAATTCCGACAAAGGCTGAGTTCAAAACAGCAAATTAGTAGATCAGTTTTAGGTGCAGAATAGTAGGAATAAAACAAAAAAGATACTACAAACAAGAACACAATTGACACCACTCGACAGGAACTGGAAAGACATAGACAGCAGAGTTAATAAGAAGTAGAAATGGAAAAGAAAGAAGGAGCATGCTGTAATAATCTACATTAACTAAAATCTACATTAAGTCTCTTGCTTTTTAAAACCACTCCATTTTGCCCTTGATGTATGTATTTGTTTATGTAACATTTTTAAAAAGAAGAAAGTGCTTTAAAAAATATTTCAAGAACAACAATTCACAGAGTAAGCATATTATGGTAGTGGTTTTAAAATAAGACTGCTACTTCTATTCTGAGTATGAAATAAAAGTGTCCCATATTAAAAAAAAATAGATATAAGATTCAATCAAGAGTGCAAACAGCACTTTCAACAGTCGCCCATGCATTTCAAACTATCATCAGTTTCTCTCAACAGAGCAATTCAGTGTCATTAGGCTAATAAACAATAATTATGATAGATGCTAGAGTTTTATTTTAACAGTCAGCATTTTTCAACAAATTTTTTATAATTATTTGACAATTCTGAAGATAAAATGCTCTTAACAAAATGTTTTAGTGTATAATACATATATAGCAAAATAAATGTGATATTTTAAGTAAAAATCTTGAAATCAATGGAATATATAATTTATACATAATTGAAAAGAAAAAATAAAAATATAAAACATATATCAATAAAAGCATATATATACTGTTTAGAAAGTAATCAATTAACCATGTTTCTACATGTGAATTGAAAAAATCTTATGAAAGGAGAGAAAAGGGAGAGATAAAGATGCTGGCAATTATAGCAGACAAAACAGATTCTGTAAATAAGGGTAGTTTTTTTTTCCCTTGACTGAGATTCTTGTAACTGTTACAGAGAGGTAACTGACAAGCTTTACAATCCCTCAAAAAAAGCTTTCTTTGTGAATATTAATGATGTTAACAATTAGAGGTCTTTAGTTAAATTTAAGTAACATTCATTTGGTCTCCCAAACTCCACAGCTTACTGTAAATATGTTGATGTCAACAAAATACAATCAAATGGCTTTCAGTTAATAGGAGGCATTTGATATTAAATGTCAACTAATTTATGTAACCTTATAGGACAGATCAAAACTGCCCCACAGGATTTTTTTACAAGAGAACATTAGCAGGTCTTTTTCTCCTGACTGGCTGATGATGGTTTTAAACCACTAACCTTTCAGGTAGCAGCCATGCACTTAACCATTCTACTGCCAAAACTCCATAATAGGAGACATTAGCAACAATTAAATATATCCCTGCAACCACTTTTTGTGCTAAGAGATCAGTAGGAACTGTATAACAAGCAGTCAATTCAAAGACCTCTGGTGGCCTACTCTTCAGCAAGTTGTAGTGCTAACCCAAACTATTTGGCTCTGTGCTCCACAGTACATAGGTAATTAAATGCTTTAGGTCACACAGTTTAAATTCACCTTAGTATTTCATATACTTAAGTAATTAAATGCTTTAGGTCACACAGTTTAAATTCACCTTAGTATTTCTTGTACTTTCTGAATTATTCAAGTTCCTAAGTACAAATACTTGGAATTTTATATAGTTTTCAATATCTCAATACATTAAAAGTTAGCATTGTTCTGAATTTGCAGAATGAAGGAAAGATCTTAAATTGATCAGAAAATAGAAACAAGGGTTGGAGAATAAACTAGAGAAGAAAAAGACAAGCCTGTTGCTCAAGAGGTGTTACCTACTAAACTTTATAGCTAAATAATGCTGGGCATGAAATCTCAAAGTATTTTTGTTCAATTTAAAAGTATGTATATTTTGAGAAGAAATCCATTCTGTTTCTCAACAACTATTAACGCAAAGGACATCAAATCACAGGGCTTAAGTTACATAAAAAAAGTGAAGAAGACTTATCTAAATATTCAAAATCACTTACAGCAATATAATTGCTGCCCAATAATTTCAAACATTTTATTCTTCTTTAAAAATTGTCAATACAAACCTCCAGAAGAGATTGCTGGAAGTGATAATTTAAATTTTGTCAAACTACATATAATACCCAAATAGAATATTAATATGAATATGGTCTAAGATACATCATTAATTGTGACTTGAGAAATATTTGAGCTTCTAATTAATGAGATACAGAAGAATACATTCCTTAACAGCAATTTCTACCCTTTATCCTAATTTTGTATTAGAAAAAATATCATAGCAGCCCTAATTAAAGAATTTTAAATTATTGGTACTCAAGAGGCCTATCTTCTTTTGTAATTATAATATTAAAATTTTTATAATTATTGAGATATAATTGAGAGGCCCCATGTTTAAAGAAATGAGTGATTATTTGTATTCATTTATATAAAATAGTTACTTACAAAAAGGCAAGGATCCAGAAACCTTACCTTCCTTTATTAAGTTTTATAAATTCTACACATATTTATAACATTAAAAGATAGCTAGCTCTTTTGAGGATAAGAAAATTATTCAAATAGGCTATAAGAAACTATTGCTAATGAACTAATGTAACACCTTAAGCTACTGAGTAATTATAAAATTTAAAATAGTAAAACAATTTTTTTAATGATACTATTTCTTAAACACCTAAGTCAAAGAAAAAAGCTGACTGGAAAGTTATAGCAAAATTCACTGAGTGACAGCACAGCCCAAAGTTAATCCAGCCTTGTTTGCTTATTTCATATACAAAAAGAAACTAAAACTTATTTCTATTTAGTTTGAATATTTTTAACTACAGAATTACCACAAATATTTAAAATTATTATATGTCATTTTATTCTTTAATTTCTCCTTCATGTAGGTATGGTTTAAAAGACATTATAAAAACTGATTTCAAAATCAGAATTTAAGTAAATATTAATAATAAACATTTTAGGAACTTACCAGGATTGTGGATACGATCCAGGAGCTTCACAGAGCGTGCACTGACAACACCGCCAACATGCACGAGAAATCCAGGAGGAAATGCCGTCAAGGTAAAAAACGGAAATTCCTAGTGGAGAGAACAAAGAAAATAATACAACTGACTGAGTGGAAACTATTTAAAAAGCTGATGAAAATCTTCTCCTAAGGACAGTATTCTACCTCTAAACACAAAACAGCTACTAATTATACATTACATATGCTTCACAATTAAAAATTTCCTTGGAAGTTTATATAGTTCCAAGACTTCCTTTTTCATATACACATGTGATATGAGTTCCAAACAGTATCAATTTCCAATAAGGATAATGTTTTTAGAGTTCCAGTTTAAGGTATTTGGAACACTCACTCCTTTCCTCTCTCTCTCCCACTATGCAGTAGCTCCACAGAGATGAGAAGATTCTCCTGTCTCTCAACCCCAGTCTACTGCTAAGGGTGGGCAGACTCATTCTCACATACAGTCCATTCTAAGCTACAGAAATTAACTCCTAAGTGTGGGACAAGTGATCTCAAGAAAGGAGGTCTGAGGGAGAGGAAACGAGAATATGAGTAGCATGGGTTAAGAGGTATAAAAATGAGAGGAGAAAAGTTGAGGGTATTGTCAAATTGAGGTGGGTGAAGAAGAGCTGTGAAGGGTTATTTACTCTATCAATACCAGAAAAGGAGCAAATGCAAGTAAAATATGTATTTTAACTAAAGGGAAGAGAGGTTTAATGTCCTCAAGAGAGAAGAGAGCTTATGGAGAGCTAGAGGAGCAATGAAACTATATAAGCTCTCACAAGTTTTTTCTCTTCTCTCTAGAGGTCATTAAACCTATCAATTCAAAAACAACCAGCAAGCAAGAGCATAATGAGAAAACAGAATAAGGAAATCCACTGAAATGGCAAGCAAGACACCAGGAGTTCGTGTGCCTGCTCAAATGGAAAGATGTCTGCATTATATAAATTAAGGAGGTAAGAGAAACGAAAGGAACCCTGGTGGTGCACGTGTTTTGCTGCTAACCTAGAGGTCAGCATTTCAAACCTACCCACTGCTTCTATGGAAAAAAGTCTCTCTACTTACAAAGATTTAAAGTCTTGGAAACTCAATGGAGAACTTTTGTGAGTTAGAATTTACTGAAAGGCAGTGAGTAAGTGAAAAAAAAAAAACAAACAACCAACCACCTTACCTAAAATCTGACTTTTTTTAGCTACAAGATTAATGCAACTTCTTATTTAATCACCTATCAGTAGCCTCAACTACTTAGAAATAACTGAGAACCAGGAAATATTCAAAACAGGACCTTTAATAGCAAAAGAACTGTTATAATTCCAAGTATTAAAACTCATACACTGTAGACACAGGAGATCTTATATATGGTATTAATACTAAGATTAAGTGTGTATATATTATACATACGCACAAATCACGTCATCTTAAAAATATATAATTCTAATATGTCATTATCTGATTTTCTACAGCATGGTAGAAATTATGGCAAAAACAAATTGAAAGAGGAGAAACAGACAGATGCAGGCACATTAAAAGCAACAAGATTGCTGACTGACTGGCTAAGAGCACAGAAAATATAAACTTACAACAGCAAAATATTAAAGCATAGCAACTTTGGATAATTCAGCACAAAGGCAAACAGCCTAGCACACTTTAGGAATTCATGAAGGCAAAATATTAAATGTATGTATGTGTCTAGGTACATACATACATACATACATACATATTTAGAAGTAAATTCAATTGGAATTTCCAAGCATTTAGATTCATCAATAAATCCTTAGGATTTATCACTAAATTCACTATGAAATTCTTAGGATATATGTTAGGTTTAGCTCAGCTAGTAAAGCGAGAGAAGTATGTAGTTTTAATGTATTATCAAGTGCTTATTATCTGTAATTCTACCTGAACTTTGAAAGTAAACCATAAATGTGAAGGGTGTAGAAAAATCCATTAGATAATTGTTTTTCCTAATGAGTTAGGGCTTTAGCATTCTCCCCCCACCCCCACCCCCCGCCCAAGTACACTAACTTTTTAAAATTTGCTTAAAGTATATGGAGTATGTGGCAGTCCCACTGGGCAAGGGTAACAATTTATATTCTATGGTAGGACTTAACTCTTCTAACTATTTAGCCAAAAGTCATTTAAAATAAAATTTTAGTAAAGGGAACTGAGAATTGTTCCTTTTGGAACTAGCAAATATATTGGATAAGTTCACACAGCATTTAAAACTTTAGATTACACACCAAAAAAAGACCGAAGTGATTTCTTAGTCCTGGATCTTTTATTCTTCTGACTAAATCTGGGGGAGGGAGAGATAGGATGCAGGAATAATAGCAAACACTTCAAACTAGAGCCAGGCATAACATAAAAATATGAAAAAGTGAGACTGGTGCTGCCACAGAGACAAAGGTACACTTGGGCTCAGCCTCCACCCTACATGTGTCAGCTTCCCAGTCACCTCACCAGCACACCAATTCATACTAAAATACAAAATTTTAAAAATGGAACATAAAACAATAACATACTGTGACAGGTTGGAAGCAGGAGTAGCAACCACTTCCTAAATTTAAACATGCCTTTGGAAATTCTATGAACTTTGATAAATGTCAACAGTTGTAGAGGGGCTTCAGGCCTTTTGTTCATAGGGTCGCTATGAGTCATGCTCTACTCAAAGGCAATCAACAACAACAACAATACGTAGTTTTTTAAAAAATCAAACTGTTATGGTTACTTAACCAAAACTGCATCTGCAGATAATTCTCCAACTAGAAAAGTTACTGCTGACATCTACAACTGATTGTCCTACCACCATTATCACCATCACCAGCAGGTTCAATACTACTTGGTTCTATGTGACCCAGTTCTCACACATGGGAGGCTCTACGTAAAGTATGTTTTATTGTGTTTGGTAATCTTTGCCATAATTCCAGAAACTGAAATCCCATTACGTTCTTATTTCAGATGACTGGGCATTATTTACTCTTGGAACCTTTGAGCCAAAAACCTGATAATGTTTTTTCCAGAGCATTCCTTGTTCAAACCAAAGTTTTAAGATTATTTTACTCAACTGTATATTTACTATACCTGATAAATGGACAAGTTTCCTTTCACTGAAATGGAACTCTGGTGATACACTATGTTACATACTGAGCTTCTTACTAAAAGGTACACAGTCTGAACTAACCAGCTGTGTAGGAAGATGAGGCAGTCTGTTCCCATTAAAATTCGCAGCTTTGGAAACCCAGTAATGGATCACCAGGGTGGAAATCGACATGACAGCAGTGCATTTAAATTTTGGTTTGGTTCCACTGAAAAATACACTTTCCTAAAGACTGGCTCCAGGACAAACTACTTGTAATATACCTTGATGTCAATTTCAGTTAACTCTGAAGGGTATTTTCTCTGGAAAGACATAATTTAAATATCTTTCCCTATGCTTTCAAAGTGGGCTTTATGTAGATTCTTTGGCATAGATCAATTATATATAGAACAAAAATATTTACTTACTATTAATAGCATGTGTTCAAAGATAGGCTGGATTTTAAAAATCATCAGAATACAATGGGTATGTACTTTGCAAAAAAGAGATCAAAAGAGGATTTTATATTTGAGTAGTTTATTTCTTTAAGAAATAAAATTCTATTTTTATTATCTCATTGGCCCTGTGCCCTCATGTTTTATTTTCTGCTCTTTGACAATTCCATATTGAAATTGTACTGCAGTTTATAGTATAATATTCCCTCCATTTAAAAAAAAATCCTAATTTACCAAAAGAATGTGGCTTCTATTAATATTTACTGACGTGTTTTCCTTATCACTAAGTATTTTAAAAGGAAGGTCCCATGGTAAAACATATTTGGGAAACAACAGTTTAAACTAAGTTGAATAACTTGACTTTACTCATGAAGAAACACATATCCTAAACCCTAAAACAAAAAACTTCTTGAACTGTGGAATGGAAGTGGGCACTGCAATGTATATTTTCCCCAAAAGTAATATGTGTAAGTGTAAAAAAAAAAAAAGTAAAAGCAAATTTTTTTTTCTTAAAAGTGAAGAAGTCTTATTGAGAATTAAGTCTATTTTCTTTGCATCATAGGTAAGTCCTTAATCCAAATAAAACTTTATTTCTACTTTTTATCTATCACCAAGATCTAGTTTACTTTTTCATTTTTAAATACTTTAGTATAAGAAAAGTTGGTGGGGGGGTTTTTTGGGTAACTTCTTCTTTAATAACTCATTATAAAATATTTTGGAAAAGTACAGTTTCTCCTTTCCTAAGGAAAAAAAAATAAGTCCTATAATTTTATTCAAAGTAGTTTAGCAAGGGCTAAAAATGACCCTTTAATAACGCAGTATTAAAGCTTCTATACACAGATCCAAGGGAGTTCTGGTGGTGGCCTAGTGGTAAGAAGCTCTGCTGCAATCGCAAAGGCACACAGTTCAAACCCACGGGCTGCTCCCTGAGAGAAAGAAGAGCCATCTCCTCCCATGAGATTTACTAACTCTGATAACCTGTTTGTGTGTCAGCTATGGGGCAGTTCCAATTCAATAGTACACAACAACATGCAAGGATCTGAGAGTTCTGGTAGCTCAGTGTTAAGGAGCTGTGCTGCCAACCCAAAGGCAGGTAGTCTGAATATACCAGCTACTCAGTGAGAGACTGGTAATCTCCGATTCAAAGGAACGTTACAATGACATATTGTCAGTTAAAGCATATACATACATATACACTTACATACGTATGTATGTACGTATTTATGTATATACATAGCATACAAAGATCATATAGAGGATCTCCACACTCCTGGGTTTCAAATTTTCTCTCAAACAGGACATACCAATGGCAGTCACAGGTGAATGGGATAGCATTTTAAAAGAGAATACATAATCTGTTAATACACAGGGAGCTCTGGCCAAGTAGTAAGAAACTGCACTGGAATCCCAAAGGCACATGGGTTTGAATTCACCAGCTGCTCCATGGGAGAAGGATGGGCAATGTGAAGACACAACAACCACTATTATATATATATA